AATTGGCTGACCAGCTTGTCACCCGAAACTGGCATTGTGGGCTGAGAGTGACTAGCCTAAGTCATCCAGCTAACATTTGTGCCTAAGGCAGGACTAGACCTCATAGTCTCCTGGTTTCTAGCTTGCGGCCTTAATCACTAGATCAAACTCTATTGAAATTCAACAGCTTGAACTATTTGCTATAACTATTTACTTCATTCTTGAGTGGGTGTCCTGATTTTCTGTTACTATGTATTATTTTCTTTGCACCTTTTAGAGTTCATCAATTGGAGGGGAAAGGCAGGCAGGGAAGGAAGGAAAGAAGGAAGGAAGGAGTAGACACTAATTCCAAGTCAATGTTATTTCTTCCAGTATGGGGAGATAAGAAGATATTGCATGTAGCCTGTCTGATATGCCTAGGAAAATCTGCAGGGTGTGGTGAAAAAAAAAATCAAGATTGCACTCTTTGATGTGTCTTGCATGGGTGATACCCATAAAAAACAAGCAAAGCTTCAATTACATCATTATAGCCAGTGTTTTTTTTCTAAAAAAAAAAAAAAAAGTGCCGGAACTCACACGTCATACAACCAGCCTTGCCAACCCTACAAGGTTCCATCCCAAAAAAAGTGCCGGAACTCCGTTCTGGGCGTTCTATGAGAAAAAAAGCCCTGATTATAGCCGCCCACCCTCTTGGCCCCCTTTTTTCATTATATCCTGTGCCAGACATCCCTGGAGGTGCCTATGGTCATTGGTTGTCCACTGAGGCAACAGAAGGCTTGATTGCAGAGGACTGCCCCGAAAGCAATCTTAATAGTTTTGCATTTATATGAGGTTCTGCGTTCTGCAAGTCTGGTAGATCTGAATATTAATGGTGGACAGGTTGAATCCTTTGTTTTATCATAGTCTTGCCAGTTAATTCAAAGGAGGAAGAAGAATGGACATGGTGGGGAAAGGCATATCACTTTTCAAAATCGGGATGAACCTCAAAATTTGATCCTTATATACTGTTTAGAGTTGGGCAATTGGAGGGACGAAGGAAGGAAGGAAATAAATTATATTCACATAGCTATTACAGCAGCTTAAAAGGAGAATTTCAGCATACATTCCACAATGATGAAAAGATATGCATGCCACCAAGAGACATTAAAAGAAGATCCTAAACAACTGATATATCTAGCAAAGAAAAAGAATACATGGAAGGTTCTCAAAATTGGGGTAGGTAATTCTGCATCACCTACAGGTCTAAAATTTGACTGAGAACCAGGCCCCTGCTGGCTGCCTCTCTGCAGAGGTTAGTTAATCGGCTTGAGGGGAAAAAAGCATCACCAGACTCCTTTTTAAAATTACTGATATTAGTACAACGTGAACAAATGAATGTATACACGGATCTGCATACTTCATTTTGAGATTTTATTTTGGTCTGGTCAGTCTTACAGCCTCCTTTTTCAGACTAGAAACACTGAAAAGTTGAGATGTGTATTTCATGGGGTGGGATGTCAAGACAGGATAAAATAACCCATTAAGCAGTAACCGTATTTTTTGAAATGACATTTTGGAATACGTGCTCTGTTTTCTTCAGTGAATGGATGGAAGTGAACATCTTTGCCCTTAAACAAAGAAGACATGCCAAAACAATTTTCACAATTAAAATCTGCCATAAAAGATAACTGTGGGCTTGGCTGAAGCTTTCCAGGCCATATGCTGAATGGAATGTTGATCCATCTCTGTTTTGATTCTTCGCATGCTTGGAACTGTAAAGGGTACACAACCAATCAATCCTCAGAAGATACAATTAATAACAAGAGTTGGAATGGATATTGGAAGTCTTTTAATCCAATTGCCTGCTCAAGCAGGAGACCTTATACTATTTCAAGCAAATGGCTGTCCAGTCTCTTCTTAAAAGCCTCCAGAGATGGAGCACCTACAACTTCTAGAGGCAAGCAGTTGCACTCAACAGTTTGTGGAATTATTCACGATCATTTCTCAGCATTATCACAGGAGTAATGCTTTTCTGTAAAGATATTTCTCCTTCGCCGGCCCTTACTAGCAAACTCAAGAATCCGAATATTGGTTTGACATTCCAGAGCTGCAAAATGAACCAATAAGACAGCATTCTTGTTGATCTGTGAGTAAAAAAAAAAAAAAAAGCAGATGGTAAATTTCTTCTTAAAATAGTAATCTGAGTTCAGGTGGTATAGTAAGGATTTTAGTATCTGAAAAAAATCTCATCCATATGGATAGAAGGCCACCAGGACGAGCCACAAGACGAACAGCTGGGTCTAAGTGGGAATTAGGCCCTTTTCCTGCTGAGGGAAGTTAGCCCAGAGAAGAAAATATTAAAAGGGCAGGAAAATATATTTTTCACCAAAAGGATTTTTAAAAGCATTTTTTGAAAAGCAGAAACCAAACCTGGCCCCAAATTTCTTTGCCCCAAACAGTAGCTAGCCCTATACAAATGCAGATGTAAAACCATCAGGAAAGTTGGAGCCAGAAAGCTCAAGAAGACGAACTCTTAAGAGTCATTAGCCCTAATGTAGTAAATTGAACAATTATTAGAATAATGATTTGTCTGCATAACTGCAATAATGATGTGTCTGCATAATTTGCTAGAACAATGATGTAATGCATAATCACTGGGAAAATTCACTGGGAAAGTTCTATGTCAGTAATATGTGGCAACCAAATGCACTTTGCACATGGATACTTTGTATGTAGCAAAACCTTCCATTGTATGCCTGTGAGAAACGCTCCTAATGTATCACAGTGTATTATCATGTGTAGTCCCTTTGTTCCTGAAAGGAGGGTAGTATAAAAACTGAAGTCTAATCCCGCCCTCCTTGTTCAGAATTGCCTATCTCTAATATGCCTCTGAACCTTGCGCAATAAACTTCTCTGCTAAACCCCTCTGGAATTCGTAAGAGTTCTTTCGTTTTCCACAAGAGCCCCATCCCCAGGGAAGCAGGAGATGACTTTTGGGACATAATAGGACTAACCATTACCATCAAGTAATACCAGAGAAGCACACCTGGGCTCAGGTCAGAATACGTGACACAGGAAATATCCTCAAAGTTCATGCCACAGGAACAGGAAAACTTCCAAACAAAAAACTAGAGGGGGTATAAAAAGCTACTGCCCATGTGCTCACTCTTTCTTCTCTCCTCTGCTCTTTCCTGAAGAACCATCTTTCTGCTTCTGCAATAAACTGTAACCATCTTCCCAAAGCAGTCGCCATGTTGCTTATTTATTCCCGGCTTGGATGAACCAGGACGAAGACTTTACTTCTGACGCTGCCTTTCAACACTGCTCTTCTTCCAGAAAAGCCTCCATGCACAGTGTTTCTCAACCTTGACCATTTTAAGGCATGTGGACTTCAACTCCCAGAATTCCACAGCCAGCATTGCTGGCTGTGGAATTCTGGGAGTTGAAGTCCACCTGCCTTAAAATGGTCAAGGTTGAGAAACACTGCTCCATGGGGGGAAGCCGAGGAAAGCCCTCCAATGCTGGACAAGATAGCTTCTTACGGCCGCGGGGGGGAAGCCCACCACGACGACAGATAAGAAACCGAAGCTGTCCGCTGAGGGGAGCAAACAGAGGCCGGCGAGAACGAAACGACAATAATCCCGCAAGCGACCCTTTACTCCACTCAGGCAGCCGAGATAGAGGACGGGGCGGAGCTTAGCCAAAAAAAAAAAAAAAGGCCGTCGGGCGCATGCGCACGCCCCTCCTCGCTTCCGGCGTCTCTGGCGCCGCTGCGGTTTTGTCCGTTAG